TAAAGAGTTTTTTCAAAAACTAAATTTGACTTTATTTTACTGCATTATGAATGGCTTTCAATCAGTCAAATATAAAATGAGGTAAGGTCACACCTGTGTATACATGTTGCTAGTTAATGAGATCCACCTTTAATTTATCATTATAGTTTGTCAGTTGGAGCACAGATCTATCATGTCAGAGTGAATAACTGAGTGCTAAATAATGGACAACAGGCCAAAAAAAGTGATGGGGCTGTAATAACACAATGTGTGTTGATCAATATGTTTTGCTTATACAGGATTGGAGCGAAAAGGAGGTTGCAAAGGACACTGAGAAGGAGGAAGGAGGAGGAGGGTGGAGGAAGCGCACGGCTTTGCCTGACAAGTAGGTGTTGGTGCCTCTTATTTTCTATAAAAATTGGTTGATTTCTATTTGTTTGTTTTAACACCATTCGGAAAAAAAGGACAGGCTCTCCTAACAATACCTTTGCTCTCTCCAGGGAAAAGAGACAGGAGGATGACAACGAGGAAAGAGAAGCTCCTGTCAGGCGGGCGGAAGGTTTCCGCAGGGATGGAGAAGACAGAGGACCCCGTCGGGGGGGCTTCGATGACGACAGAGCCCCCCGCCGTGCCGAAAATGAGGACCGCCCCATACGCAGAGGCTTCGACGATGACCGTGGTACACGTAGAGGTTTCGAGGAGGACCGTGCCCCGAGGCGTGCTTTCGATGACGAACGTGCCCCGAGGCGTGGCTTTGATGACGACAGAAGTTCTCGCAGAGGCACGGATGACACCTGGGGTCCCAGGAGAGGAGGAGAAGATGAAGAGAAGGGTGGAAAGAGAGGCGTTGAAGAGGCTCCACGTCGTGGTGAGGATGACAAAGCACGGAAGCCCTTGGTCAGGCCTGGTAAGCCTGTGGCCTTTCAGCTGGTAATAACTGAAAGACCTGTCTTAGTTAACTGTAGCAGGATGATGAGAAAATGCATGTGTTGCAGGTGGTTGGCGTGAGCGAGAGAAGGCTCGCGAGGACAGCTGGGGTCCTCCCAGGGACAAGTCCAGGGAGAAAGACGATGATACTGAAGAAGAGCCCAAACCAAGCGAGCGGCGTCCAGTCAAGTGAGCCTCACAGACTTATTCCTTTTTGTAATAATGCGGAGGACATCATGACTAGGTTTTCTGCAAGGAGTTGTGTTAATTAGTTTGACAATCTATTCACAGAGAGGAGAGTGTCTGGAGGAGACCCGGCACAGAGGAAGGAGGAAGCAGCTGGAGAGACTCTCGAAAAGAGACCGCTGACAGTGATGATCGTCGAGGAGGGCGTGAGGAGCGTCAGATCGAGCGTCCGCGTGTGGAGCGTCAGATCGAGCGTCCGGCAGAGCGTCAGATCGAGCGTCCGGCCGAGCGTCAGATCGAGCGTCCTGCCGAGCGTCAGATCGAGCGTCCTGCCGAGCGTCCTGCCGAGCGTCCTGCAGAGCGTCCTGCCGAGCGTCCTGCAGAGCGTGCTGCAGAGCGTCCTGCCGAGCGTCCTGCCGAGCGTCCAGCGGAGCGTCCAGCCGAGCGTCCTGCCGAGCGTCCAGCCGAGCGTCAGATTGAGCGTCCGGTCAGAGAGAGCCGGGATGAGCGTGAAGTCAGAGCCCCACCCAGAGAAACAGAGGATGGTAAGCAGTTTGACTTCAAAATGTAACCGCTGCATGAACATCAGGGATACAGCTTTGCTGCATCATTTGTTTTCTTTAAAAGATGTGAAGTCTTGTTGACCTATGTGGCAGTGTTGAGCTCAACCAGCAGAGGTCGCTTTTACCCTCATTTCTGCTAGAGCCTGTGTTTGAGGAAGAGTCTTGCTTGTAATGTCAAAATGTTTCTGTTGAAACCTCTCCTAATGAGCGTCCTTGTTTCCGTAAGGAGCTTCTTGGCGTCGTGGAGGCGAGGAGAAGCGCGAGGAGAAGCGCGAGGAGAAGCGCGAGGAGCGTCCCAAAGAGGGTGAGACCGAGGAAGAAAAAGCCAACGCTCGCCGCATCAAGAATGAGACGGATGATGACGGCTGGACCACTGTCCGCCGCTGAGCAACATCTGCATCCAATTGGCTCAATGAAATTGGTTCTGAAAAATAAATTTGGATTCCCATCAGCCAGTTATAAATTAATGGTCACACACTTCTAATACTCATGTGCGTTATTACTTTGAATTGAATAATTATAGACAATAGTTTTCCTGGGGATTTCTTTTTCTTTTATCTCCATTTCTTTACAGTTGTTTGAACCAGAGGCTCCCACCAGCCAGAACACCATCAACCAATGAACTTGTGTGTGCACTTTGGCCTCATGCAAACCATCAGAGTAAGCAAAGCTGCCCCCAGTGGTTAGGAGTATTATTACCTTACATGAAGAAGTAAACCTAACTATACTGATAACATAATTACCTGCAACAACTTTCTATGAAAATTCAGAGCATCACCAACTGCCTCTTTTTAAATAATTCCCATTGCATAGATGTTATGATATGCCACAGATCCACAACTCCCTGTAAAGGCAATGACAGGAGTTGGTCAAATGCTTCAGTGATCTCTGCTCTTCATGCAATGTTTCAGATGCTTCTTAACCTGTTCAAGAACTAGATACATTTACATTTGATGTGCATGCTTGCAGTATTCAATTGATCTCGCCTGATATCCAGTGTGTGGTTTTATCTCTGCAACCAACGGTACCCAACCAGGTTGCATGTCAACAGTTAAAGCCTTTATTAATAAAGATGTTTGCTCACCACCTAATTGTTCATTTAATCTTAAATGATATATCACCTATAAAGATAGCATCACACTTATTAGTTTAGTGTCTAGTGTACAAAAATGTCACAGTTGTTCCCTACGTGGGGTAGGAGGATTGACCTAACCTTATAAAGTAGTAGAAGTATTAATGCTATTATTCATTTTAAGTACCTCTGTAAAAACTAAATTGTGAAAGTACCACTTGACTTGGAAATAGGTGTCCACTTCAACATCTTGGATCCCAGCAGCTGACGTATTAGATCCACCTGACCTAACTTCTTCCTAGTGCAACACCAGTAAAACTAAACTATTCTTCATCATGTTGTGGACTTGCTGGCTCTTCATCATTTTAAGTTACCCTAAAGCTCTTCAAGCCCCGTTTTGGTTCCATAGTATACACCATTATGTAACTGACCACTAGAGGTCGGTAAAGCTCCGTGCAGAGGACACGCGTCTCCCTGTCAGAGCTGCTCTGGTTCATGTCCACGATCAGCAGGTAACTCAGGAAAACTCCGAAAATATGAACATGCATGCAGCGGTCAGTCAGCCACTTAGAAAACCAATAACATCATGTTAGAGTTGTTTAAAAAAAACTTCAACCATACTGAACTAAAACTAAATATTCCGTCACAACAAATGGCTTTGAATGTGGCTGACCTGCCCCGTTTTAAAGCGTTGTATAGAATAATGTTACTACTAATAATAGATAAAATAATCATCAAGATTTTCATTTATTTCATTTAATCGTTTATTTGGCAGGGACAATGCACAGTAATGAACACTTAAGACATTAAAATGTGTCAAGCGTAACAGTGCCAGATTTAGCTTTGAGCTAATTTCCATCCGCAGTCCCTCACATAAAACATTTCAGAAAATTACATTTTACAAACAATAAAAATGCGTGTCATGTGTAAGACATTGACATTTATTTGGTACGATTTTTATATATAAAAAAAGCACCTTTATAAATTCACTAAAGAAAATAAAACATCCAAACTGCTAACGATTCCTGATAATTACAATTGAATATGACACATTTTAACAATGTCCATTCAGTTGTATTATGTGATGCAGGCCTACAGCTGTTAAGGCTTTAGTTCACAGCCTATTGTATTCTACACAGACCTTTAACCTGGACGCACAAATAAACCGACTGCTCCATAAGCTGTATATGAACAAGTGTGTCCTATATAGTCATAACAACAATAATAATGCCATACTTAAATAACATGTTTACTTTGACTGCGACTTCAATTTTCTTGCATCTGAAGTCGTTCTAAATGCATTTCAAGATCCCCACCAACACTCAAGAAACATGCAACCAAGCTATACAAACTGAAAGAATATATACATTCAAAAATATATAAATACAATGTTAATCACAATACGTTTTTGTTTTCATTGTTATGGCTGCATCTTTTAATTATTAGTGTTTTTTGGTTTTATATGAGCAGCCTTATGTCTAACTGTGCGTGTTATTAATGTTTTTCATGTCTTTGTGAGGCCCTCGGCGAGCGGCATGGCTGCAGCCTCGTGCTGCTCTCAGGGGGACAGCTGCAGTCACAGGTAGCCCCTCCAAAAAACACCTGAGCGTTTTCATTCAAAAACACTGGCAACCAGCGACTCATGAGTGGGAAGGTGTTACTGACATTTGAAGACTGACACTATCCTGTTTTATTGACAAAAGCTCGAAATATAAAGTCTACCAGAGATCCCACCCAGCAGAAAGTGCATTCTTTAATTTGAATCGTACTAATAGTATCTGAAGAAATTAAAAGGAGCTAGGACCAAACAAGAATTAAATACAGAAATATAGTTAAAAATGGAGACATAAATGAAGGCCAATTAAACAGCTGCTGTTGAGTATTATCCGAGCACGCAGCATCGACTATAATAGACTTTAATAGAGTTGATTTGATGTTTGCGCAACATTGTTGTGCATAATTAAAAGTAATCACTTGCTAATACTAACACTACACGCACACCCACCCAAAAAAAATCAGTTTGAAGCTGTCATAGCCATTAAATGCAAATAAGCAGGCTACCTTGAGCTTTACTGGTCCAGATGAGTGTGTTAAATGTCCTGGAGATATGTGCGCGTGAGTAAGTGTGTGCGCGCGTGTGCTCTGGACGAATCCGTTCCGTGTTGCGCGTTCGAGTCCGCCTCTCCGCGCCCCTGCTTCCCATTGACGCACTTTTTAAGCGTCTTCCCCTTCTCCACCTTAAGGCGAGCAGTAGTGGCAGCGACCAATCACCATGCCATTACAGCCTTCAGAGGAAGCTGTTTATGGGACTGCAGCGCTAATTAGGCTCATGAACTAACAAATCTGCCTGCACGAACCCGGCGAGGAAAACGATCATATCCATGGATTAGTCTGGGAGTAGCCGAGCACTTTTTATTTTGTGGCTTTCTCGACACTGCAAACTTATTTACTGCGCAGAAAACTTTCCTCCTTCCTTGGGTGTGGAGTATTTTTTAAAGCGAGAGCGCCTACCACAGCTTCACCTTAAACTGGGGAACCTGGACTATCAGACAATGTTTCAGCCTACACCCAAGAGGTGTTTTACGATAGAGTCTTTAGTGGCGAAGGATAATCCTCTACCGCTGTCCCGCACCGAGGAGCCCATCCGGCCAGCGGCACTCAGCTATGCAAACTCCGGCCAGATGAACCCCTTCCTCAACGGCTTCCACTCCGGCGGCAGGGGCGTCTACTCGAACCCGGACTTGGTGTTTGCGGAGGCGGTCTCTCATCAGCAGAACTCTGCCCCGATGCATTCGGTGGCCCCGCCGCACGCTATGTCCGCTCACCCGCTTTCCTCCGCACACAGTCCGCACCCTCTTTTTGCCAGCCAGCAAAGGGACCCCTCAACTTTCTACCCCTGGTTATTACACAGATATAGATACTTGGGTCACAGATTTCAAGGTAAGTTATCCGAATGCTTCGTTTGGCTTTTTACGCACGATCGGCAGGGGATTGATTTTCTTCTCTCCATCGAGTACAGACAGCATAAGGAATCAAAATATGTAAAGCTATAGAGAGCAGTTTTTCAGCATGTCATGTCCAAATTTCAGGCCAAAATATGACACGTATTTACCGGATTATTTCGCTAAAAACATGACCCTGTAGTGGATTTCTTCATTTAAATAAAGGGAAATCTCGAGGAAAATGTAAAAAGAAATGTGGCCGTGGCTTCTTAAGCTGTTTAGAGAGACTATTCAGGTCTAAAAAAATATTACTAGAAATGGTGACTTGTTGTACACTGTAGTGGAGGTTATTTTTAGCATTGGATATATGATCTTATTCATGCGTAAAAACGAAACTAATGCAACTCGTTGCTCGGCAGTTTATGCAAAGACTTAACTCACATTTTAAATAAAAATACAAAATGCAACAACTAGGGTTGTTATTTATTTAATCTATGCTAATTATTTCAGGCTGACGTGAGTAAAATCTTTGGGTAATTTGGATTTTATTAACTGAGTTGACTTGGCCCCTTGCGTTTGTAGACTAGGAAAATGTGTTTATTATTTAATGATTTTGTTCGCTCATTTTAGGTATTTATATTCGAGAGTATTTGTTGTTTTCCTGACAAATAAAAGTAAAATTAACACAATTTAAAGAAATGCATTCTAAATTAATGTAGGCCTATAAAGTGTTTTTAGCTGCTGTTTATTTGAAAGTGTTCATGCTGCTTCCATTTTACCTGTTATAGTGTTTACATGGGCTATTTTTGAGATAATTTAATTATAGGCCCAGGATTACACCCCTGCTTTGTGTTTCTTTATCCCTTTACTTCATGCTGTGTCTCACACATTTTAAATGAAAAAGGTCAACAATAGGAAATAATTTAAAATAGCATATGTGTTGGATAAATGATCTCAAGTTAATACTTATATCCAGCTCCTTCTCATGTATTGTTATCATGCCGTATTTCCAGTCTGCCCTCTGTACACTATTGTTTCCTAGCTGTGCGCAGGCCTGCTTGTTATGGACATGTTAAAATCTTACAGAATAAAAGAAAGGTCATGACTGATCCTCGTTTTGTGCTCGTTTCCAGGTAATGAAACGAGTCCAGAGAGCTTCCTTTTGCACAACGCGCTGGCAAGAAAGCCCAAAAGAATCCGGACAGCTTTTTCACCCTCGCAACTCCTGCGGCTCGAACACGCGTTTGAGAAAAACCATTACGTGGTGGGAGCAGAAAGAAAACAGCTCGCCCACACCCTTAGCCTCACAGAAACTCAGGTAAGAATTTTTATTTTATTAACATTAAACATGTTGCTGTTTTCTTTTACCTGGGCAGTGCGCTCATTTTATTTTGAAATTGATATATTGCTTTTTGGTGTGTTGTGTCATATTATTGCCATTAGAATTGGCCTATTTGCACTTTATTATTTAGTAATTTAAAATATATATCCCTCACATTATGGCTGGTGGACTTGATATATATATTTTTACTTTTGGCCTTAAACGTGGCTCCTTGCGTAAGGATGCATTTTGAATCAAGCTGGTATAAAAACAATGTATCTTAACGTATGACAACAAAGAATAGACATTTAGCAAGCAAAACAATAATTTTAAATAATCAGCATACAACATTGTTTCTACAGACCAGAGTCCATAAATGCATGTTGTCAATGGCAGACAGAGGCTTTCTGTTGGATCCGATCCACTGTCATTGTATAGGCCTAACCTCATTTTAGGAGGGGTTGAATTACTTTGTTTTGGGGGGAGAATGTTGCCTTTCAAAATGGAGGGCAAATTAACCAGTTAACCATTTTATGGGATAGGCGATACAAAGAGCGAGGCGGGTTCAGTGAATTCCCCCTGCCATATTTAAGATGCTGTTTGAGCCCATCAGCCGCTGTCTTTTGTCCGCTGCGGCTGCTCTGGGCGGCGGGGCCTTTGGAGGGACTGATGGGAGAAATGAACCATCACCTACTTTAATTGGCCCACGGAAGGCTTATTAAATGCACCTCGGTTGCCATTCAAGAGATAAAAAGGGGGCTGCCGAGTGACAAAGCAGGAACAGACAATTTATCGATTTAGATGTTGTTAATTCCCCGAGGTACCGTTTAACAGAGCTCAGTCGATTTAGAGCACTGTGTGAAACTGTATGTTAAAAATGTCACTCCTTTATTTCTTATAAACGTTCACATGCTGGCAGAAATACAATTTTTTCGAAACAAATGTTGACCTACTTTACCTAACTTTTCCCAAACATCATTTATTTTTAAGAGCATATTAAGTGCAGTATTTGTGCGTAAAAGTAATATTATATCAGCTTTAATTTGAGGATTTAAATGCATGGTTGACAATATAATTAATCCATGTTTATTCTGGAGGTTGTGTCCTCTCTGATCACCACTGCAGATCACAGTTTACCTTATTTTGTATTCTCATTCCACAGCTGCCTGCTTGCATTAAGCCCTGCTACAATAACAATGTGTCCCTTTTACGCGTGGTTTTGCGCACTGGCCAATCGCGGTTTATCTAGTGACACTGATCAAGTTTCTTTTCTTTTCTCTCTATTTTTTTCTCCTTTTCAGGTAAAAGTGTGGTTTCAGAACCGGAGGACGAAGTTTAAGCGACAGAAGTTGGAGGAGGAGGGCTCGGAGTCTCAGCAGAAGAAGAAAGGATCGCATCACATAAACCGGTGGAGAATGGCGACTAAACAGGGGAGCAGCCCAGAGGAAATTGATGTCACTTCGGACGATTAAAAAAAAAAGAAGACTTTATTAGCTTCTGAGTGATGGAGGACATGGATAAAGGATGCCGTGTAGAGACAGTGAGGGGGTACACAGCCAATGTCACATTTCAGATCTCCGGATCGGCAGCTGAGGGTGAGAGAAACCCGACATGTGGCACTGTGTCACCGCGTGGGTCTGTCAATCCAAGTGACCTAGGAAATGTGGCTGACAGTGTCTCAGTCCCCCCACCTGAACCCTTCCACGCACCGACCCCCACCACTACAATCTCCCATCTACCGCCACCTCATTTTTTCTCCAATTCATATTGGACGTTTGCACTTCAGAAGGTTTTTTTTTGTGAAAAAACAAAAAAACATTTCCACTCCAAGATACCAAAACACCAAACAGCTTTTGTAAAACTTGAATTGCATGGTATAGTTTTTTTTTCTCCTGGTAGTTGTTTTTTTAATTTGACACGTTTTTTCTCAAACCAAGAAAAAAAAAATCAATATTGTTTTTAACTCTATTTTCAAACAGAGATGTCGTGCTTCTTCCTTTTTACAAAGTGTGCAGTCTTTAATTAATGATTCTCGTGTAAAAGTGATTGTGAAAACATATGAAGTAGCGGTGCTGCGTTATAGTGTTTTTTTGAAAAAAGAAAATAGAACAAAACATTTGAATTTCGATTTAAAACAAAAAATACTTTTAATAGAGTGAATCAGACTACAGATAAAGTACTTAAATGGAAGGTGTCAGGGCTTTCCTTTAACCTAAAGCTTTACCAATGTGTCGCTGTGGCCCCACGCAGCCTTCTGTCAGGACGTCCCTCCAGTGAAAAGTTGCCACGAAGGACTAAATGCAAGAATTGAGAGTTAAAAAAAACAAGCACTGACCGTATTCCATGTACAGAAATGCTAAAAGTTAATGTTTCTGTTAAACCCTCTTTTACAGAATGTAAATAATGTTTGTGTTTGTGTTAAGTTTGCTACAATTTTAACACAAAGTATACTTCCAAGAAGTATGTAATTGTCAATATTTTGTCAATAAAGTTTTATCAATATGTTGCGCGCAGTAAAAGTAAAGACTTTTGATTATAGCTGAAATATGGCCTCTGGCGCTTTAAGGGCAATTATCTTTATTTTATTTTGTGGCATCAAACGGAATCGTTTTGGATTTAGTGTACAGTGAGGTTTTTAAACTAAATGCTGCAGCCTTTAATGCTCTGCGTTTGTTTCTCAGCCTGATTTTTTTTTGTGGGCTGCTCCGCTGCAGCTACAAAGAGTCCCCACAAGCTTTTGTGAAAGTGCAAATCAGTTTGGGCAATTATCATGCGGGTAATATGAGGGGGAAAGGGGATGCATTGCCCAGTGGTCCACTTTAATCTCTTAATCCACGGATCCAAGGGGCCTTGGTTGGACATAATTTAGTACAATCTGACTACCCCTCACGACGCGATAAGGAAGGTTGCAATGTGCCGCAAAATGGGATCTTTGTTTAAAATCTTGTCCTGTAGGCTCCATCCTGCTGCAAGCTGCTAGTGTTTTTGGACTGAAAGGGAAAATAACAGGATTTCTTTAACTAAAAAAAATATATATATTTACATCAGGAAATTATTTTCTGTTTACACACAAAAAACCTAGGAAACAATGCACCGTTAAAAAAAAACATTTACATTGGATTATGATTTTTTTTTCTTTATTGTGAAATCATATCAACTCCAGTGTTGTCTGCTGCGAGGTTTGTTTAATTGTTTCCTAAACTAAAAGGGGCTGTTTTTGTGATTTTGGTTGGGGTTTGGAGGGGGGGCATATAGGGAATTCTTAATCGGCCCATAGATTATAACAGCAATAAAAATCTTTAGAGAATACCATTAGCTTTGGAAAAAAAAAACTAAAAGCTTTATTACAAACCCAGCTTTGAAATAGGGGGGATTAGAGGACTGAAAGGGTCCCACAATAGTTAGAAGAAAAGGTTTCATGCTAATGAGGTTAATGCCCTTTGTATCTCCGGACTCCACAACTTCATTACTCCTATCTCGGGCAACACCGAGCGGCTCAGAGCTTCACAATCCACTCGAGCTTTTCCCTACCCTGCCTCTAAAGAAGGATTTGATAGCAGTCCTGTTCAAACTAGATAATTATATCTTTTCAAGTTGGAATTAAGATAAAGAAAGTGCAGTGGAGGCGGTGAGCCTTGATCCGCCGCAAACAAATTTGGCGCACTCTCCCCCCCTCTGTGCGCCTGTATGGACACACAGGAGACAGGACAGCTTCTCATTAGAGCTGGCACAGTTTGATTCATGTAAACGCGTTTGTTTTTAACCTGGAATTATCTACACAAAAATGTAAATGTAGCAGCAGTTATTCTATTGGAAATATATGTTTTCTGCTGATATGGTTTTAAAAATGTAAAACTAAATGTTGCCTAATGAAAAAAGCGACTGGCTTTAAATTCTAAATTGCAAAAAAATCTAAAAGCACCCATTACAATATTTAAATTATAAAAACATTGTAATTTAGAATTTTAGAAATTATAGTGCACTTTTCGATAGATTATTCTCGGTCCAAAAATTCCAAAATGATCGAATAATAAATAAATTGCGCATATTTGCAAACCACAAAGCTTGGCTTTACAATTACATGTATTTTATTGCGTTTAAAAAAATTCAAAACGCCATTCTCTTAAAATCTAGCCAAATTGAGAGTAAGGTCAGATGAATGTAATCGGTTCGGACAGAATTCAAACAGTGTGTGTTAAGACGTGAAGTGGGCCCTCACATATCAGATCCCTCTTCCAGACGCTCGTGCTGTGCGTAAAGGGCCAGCTGTGGGGACCTTTGGTGACCCGCTTATCTAAACTTAAGCTGCTCCGCTCCGTCCAGGGGCCAAACTCTCCATAAATCATCATCACAGCTCCTGAACTGCTGGATTATTCCTTAAATATTCACCACCGAGCCAGGCTGGGCATTTTGGACCTGAGCCCCCGCCGCATGAAACATTTAGGCTGAACGTGAAATGATTATCCGCCATTGAAAAGAGTAGTCGGTCCTATCAAGTGACCCCACTGACCCAAAACCTCTAATCTGCAATTAGTAGCTATAATTACGTCCGCTGACACCACTAATGTGGATAGTGGCGCGGGGAGGCGATAGGCGCGAGACAGGACTTGGTATTAGAGCTGAAAGTCAATAATTGATCGAGCTAAGATAGGAGAAGTGCTTTTTGAAAAGGATGGATTAGTTTGTCAACATAATGTGTAAGATTTATTTCATCTTCCGGGTAAAACGTTCCTGGGGTGGCACCTGTAGGCCGTGCTGTCTCAACGCGACGTCAGGACTAACTTGATCTGTCCTGTTTCACAAATTGCTTCTGAAATTGATCCTTGAAACGAGAGAATGAAGCCCACACAATTCCCTTGGCCTTGACATAAGGTGCAGCGATAAATATACAAGACTAATGAGCAATTACTATACAATCACCCTTCAAATAGCTTACATAATAATAAATTAAACATCGGAGCCTAGGATTCAGTTTCTGACTTTATTATTAATAACGAGGGAGGGGCGTTTGCTGCCATGATGTGTTCGGATGATTATGTTTTCCGAGCGCAGCAATTTTCCAATTCGCCATCGGGAACACAGTCAGCACTTATTGACTCGGACTGAGTCCACGGGCTTTTTACTGGCATCGACATAAGTGCGGGAAAATCATTTTAGTAACATGTTATTTTTTCATTGGTATGATTTTGAATTTACTTCTCACAGGGTGATCTTAAAACGCAGCATAAACCGGCCTGCTGCGTTCAATGACATAATTCGTTCATCGTTAATGCCTAAACTCGATTTAATTTGCTTAAATGATACATTTAATATGGTGTTGGGCAGTGATATGTCAATTATATAATATGTACATTTGAATAGCTATTAATTTTTTCTTTCACTACCCTGTTTAGCCTCCTAAATTTCCCTTTTCATTTTTATCCTACATCACAATTAATGAATTCAGAGCAGGGTTACAGACACACACTAAGAGGCTGGCACCAAAATGCAATTGTTAATAGATGAACGAAGCCTAGAGCCACATTACCAGCTCTCTGACAGACCCAGCTCTGCTCTGTTCACTGAGGTCACCACAGACAACACATGACCAAGAGATGTCGCAGACCTACAAGTCACAAATGGCCTTTTTACTATGAAATATTCATACTGAGCTGCAATTCTGAAACTGTAAACTGTTTCCACCTGCACAGACGCCTCTTTCTCCGTCTGTCAGGCTTCTTCTCGGCCTCACTCCCACAACACCTTAGTTTGGGAAGCCTCGTATAGTCTAAGGTCTCATAAGCTGTTTTTTCCTCTTTATTACTTTCATTGGCTGCAACAGTAAACATTTATTTCCATAGCATTAATATTCTTATGACCTGCTGCTAGCCCGTGGATTCCTAAGGTTTATTTTCTTTAATGACAGGGGGAATTTGGGCTGTAATGTGATGCAGTTTCATTTGCATATAAGTGTTTCCCTGCACCAGCTCTGAAGAGAGCAATTGTCGACCCCCTGTCCTCTGAAGTTCCGAACTCCAAACATTTTATAGGTTGTATCTGCAACATTCCCCTCAGCGCCCTAATGTGTAACACATGGCGGACTGTACACCTGATAAAATACCTCAGGGGCCCTGCAGTTTGGAAAATCCTCAATTCGCTCCCTAAATAAAACAAACAATGGCCTCACTAAATATATCACATGTGCATGCTGAGCTATTTTGTGTCTCTTGACCTGCGAGTCCCCTCCCACATCATCAGCACTGATACCATGGCACAACCAGCAGGTACTTTGGAAAATAATACCGCAGATTTGAGAAGCTCCTGTTTGTACCTGCTGCAGGCTAAATATGGTGGAGGTGAAGGGCTTGTTGGAGCTGAATTGTTTCATGATTGTTCTTCTGTCCATAGTTTTTGGTCTGGATATGATCACGTCCAATGAAATCAGCTCACATCCAAAAGTGGACTGCTGTTTCATATCTGAGAAAGTGCTGCAAATGTGGCTGCAATTACAGCTGAAATGTAATATAGCTGTGAGTGTGTGTGTTACTGACCAGACAGGTGAAACTGTGGGCACCTGTTCCTCTGTCCCTGCTTTCACCCTCTGAACTTCGCTGTGTCTCCCCCTCTTGGTAGCTGGGAGGGAGAAAAAGCTACCCCCAAAAACCATGAAATATCAAGTTTCTGTTGGCTGGGTCTGACGGCAGTTGAGTGCTCAGTGTCTGGAAAGTGAGGCAGCATACTGGTGGTGGACTTCTTGGACAGCGCCTTGGAGAGAGGATGGTGCATCGCTTTCAACACGAGTCAACTGAGCCTATCACACATATTTAAAATGTAATATTAGAACTATGGATTTCTCATGAAGTGCTTTATAATAGACAGGTGTTGACTAAGTGAAACGTAAAACTTAAATAAAACCCTCACTAGGAAATACTATTCATTTTTATAGCATTACTGTAAGTTATTAATATGAATTTGAAATTTGGTGTAAGTAATGCAATGTGATAATCATACACATGTTTTGTATAACTTATTAACATTACTACGACATCAGTGTGCAGTGTTCCATATTACAATTAGACACATTTAAAGCAACATTTACCTCGTGCAAAAGACTTACATGGCATATATGTTTATTTTTACTGTATATTTATAATAGAGACAATTATGGACCAATGCAGCAGTAATAGCTTGTAATAGTTTGCAATGCTCCTTAATTGATGATTCTAAAATTAAATTAAAAAGGCAGAAATTCAACAAACAAAATAATACACAACTATTGCACAGACACACATTTTGTGGTGCCTCTTTTGCTCATTAAACACTTTTTTTTCTGAATGCGGAACAATGACAACAATCAACCAAAAACAAATTCCTAAAACATTATAAAATTCAGAAAAAAAAGTAGTTTACTGCATAAATGTTTAAGGCTATATATTTAGCTATTTAAAAACATAATTAAGAACTTGCACAAAAAAAGTGCTGTTATTTTTTATTTTTTTAACTTGAATGAAGAACCA